TAAAAGCTGAGAAAAGAATAACGATAAACATTCCGAAGATTCGTTATTCGAAGATCATAAAGACACGACAACGTTTTGAAGTAATGATATGGAGAAGATAAAGATGTACGAAGATTGTTTTAGTTTGAGTAAGTTCATATCTTCGCCAAAGCTCTCGCTTATGTCGAATTAAATGGATAGCTCAGAGGTTAATTCAAGGTTTTAATATATTTCTCTATAGCTGCCGTTCGGTTATATGAAGAAGAGTCCCACATTGACGATGGATCAGAGTGAGTGAGAAAAATAGATTGCCAGTTTAACTCTTCTCCTTCTTCTTCTTCGGCTTTTCCCATTATGAGTTCGCCGTTTTCGTCCTCCACAGCACTCTATTCTCCCAGTCACCTCCTCTAAGGTCTCTATCTATCATAGCATTTCCGACGTATGTTTTCCATCTTGTAGTAGGTCTTCCTTTCCGTCTTCTTCCCGGCGGATCCCAGTTTAATATTCTTTTCGGCCACCTATGCTCTGGCATTCTTTGTACATGCCCGTACCACTGCAGGGCTCTGCTTTCCAACTTTTTTGTAATTGAGCATTCTACTTCCATTATGTTCCATATTTCCTCCGTTCTTATTCTATCCGCTCTTGTGATTTGTAGACATCTTCTCGTACAGTCCAGTTTAACTGGTCCTTTTTTTAACTCTTAGTTTAACTCTATAAAAACATTAAAAGCTATTTAACAAAATTAAATTTTAATGTTTCGTTTTCGCATCGATGGTGCTAAATGTAATATCACACCATACAACTTTTAGCGACTGATAGAAAAAAGAGATTCCATTGCCGACTTAAATTATACTTTTTAAGGTTTTATATTTTTGATATTGCAATATTCAAACAATTGTTATTTGTATTTTGTCACTTGATTTGAGTTTAACTTAATGATAGGAATGATTAAATTTGTCAAAATAACAAAAGAAACTAACATTTCACCTACTTTGTAGACGTACTGTAGCATGTAACCGAATACTATAACTTCATCAGAAATTCAGTAATTTCGTTAAAATTCAAAATTACTCTCGATGGGGAGTGATTAAGTCATTTGTTTGCATTCATACCCGCCGCTAATCGCTCTAATGTATCTCAAACTTTCAGGCAATGACGAGATGGAGACGCGAAAAACGACTGCACTGACAACAGTAATCACTGGATTGAGAAAGTTTACCAACTACAGTTTGCAGGTATTGGCATTCACGAAAGTTGGTGACGGAGTTTTAACGACACCATCCTATTGCCAGACGGAAGAAGACGGTACGTTAATACTCTGAATTTTATCTCTTGTTATCGCACAGTTGGATATCACGAGTTTAAATCCATAAAATATATACAGGGCTTTTAAAAACTTATCTTATCATTACTATATCGTAAATTACGCCGGTCTTTATTTTTTGGAAATTTGTATTTTTATTTAAGAAACATAATGTTTCATTATTTTTAAAACTTTTTTCCTGAGGTTTTAACAAATATGTCAGTTACAGTATCTCTTATTAATAATAACCAAAGGTTTGCAAAATTTATTAGAAAGCTTTATGCAGCTAAAGGAGGAAACGCTAGGATAATTAAAGATAACATCTTGCACCATGATGAATTCAAATATGCAACTGAGCACATACAAGCTACAACAGTATGTGCAAAGATAAAAACACATAATGTAAATATAAGTTTAATATATTGTCCTCCTAGACACTAGAGAACAATACAAAGAATACCTACTGGAGCTCTAGGCTAACTACAACTAAAGGAAAAGAACTATTGTTAGCTTCACAAAAGAGTGAAGTAATATCTACTGGTACAGCAACATAATGGTCCAGACCTGATAGATTACAATATTTACAAAAATATCTCAGCTAACTATCTGGATATCAATGACGGCTAGAACATGAACTCTGATTACTCACCGATAATTTTAACTATGAGTGATACAGTGATTAAAAAGAGTTCAATCCAATATTGACTAATAAAAAAACTCTGACTGGGAGAGCTTCAAAATAAACCTTCAAACACTTTAAACACAAAATTAATCTTGCTGTGCCATTGGGAAATACGAGCTAAGTTGATGAAGAAGTTTTTATAAAAAATATCCATATTTACGAAAATGGTTTTCCTTGACCACTTCAGGACTATTTCGAGCTGCGGTCAATAAAGTTAGAATTGCCATGCTAGTTGCCAACATCCGTAACGGATAGGCACCACAAGAAGAAGAAGAAGCTTGGAAAAATACTCCCACAATAACTTCTAGAACTAAAGGGAACAACTACGCAAAAGAAATCAGAAAACTCATAGTAGAAAAAAGAAAGTTGAGAAAAAAATCGCAGCAATACAAAGCTCCACGAGACAAAACTAGTCTAAATAATGCTACACAAAAACTAAAAAGGGAGATACAAAATATAAAAAATTCAACAATTGATTCCTTTTTAAGTAATTTAACAGTTGACTAGAACACAGATTATTCGTTATGGAAGGCAACGAAAAAAACGAAGAGACCAATTATTCTTTCTCCTCCTATCAAGTTAAAAACGGCAACTGGGCTAGAAGTAACGACCAGAAAGCAGAACGATTTGCAGATCATTTAGAAATCACGTTCAAAACCAATGACAGTAGTGGTAAAGAACTGAGATGAGAACAACCATTTCAAACCGAAGAAAGAATAACGTCAACATCACTTAGAGAAGTATCAATAGATATAAAAGAGAATATAAATCATAAGAAAGCTCCAGGTATGATCTTATATCAGAAGAACTAATACAGTCTGGTAGAACAATCTACCAAGAAAAGCCATAGCTAAGCTGTCACACCTAATAAATGATGTTTTTAGATTAAGATGTGTTGCCAGACTTTGGAAAGTAGCCGAAGTCATTATGATTGCCAAACCAGATAAATCTTCTAATGAAGTGACATCCTATCGACCAATATCACTCCTTCCGATGATGTCAAAACTATTTGAAAAACTTCTATTGAAAAGATTAAAACCAATAATACAAAAAAAAATCGTATACCAAATAATCAATTTAGTTTCAAAATAAACATTCCACTAAATAATAAATAATAAATATTACTGTTTGTATTTTGAGAACGATTTCCGATGTGGAAATTGAAACGTCAATAAACGTATTTTTATCTTTAATTGTGGCTTATTCCCAGTTAAATGGTAATTAATTTAAAATGCCACAAGAAAATAGCTTCAGAACAATAAAAACATTCCACCATATATCAATTTCACAGAATAACGAATATAACAGAAAAAACGTTAGAAGAAAAGAAAGTCTGCTCTACAATCTTCTTGCACGTAGCATAGCCGTTTGATAAAGTCCCGCATTGAGAATAGATATTTTAGAGTAAAACAAGAAGAAGTGTAAACCGATTTTAGGTAGTTCGAAGCTGGCGTGCCACAAGGGAGTGTATTAGGTCCGGTAATACGTACCTGTTGTATACGTGTGACATTCCAGAGCTAGAACAAAACACTATTGCCACCTTCACTAATGATACAGCCATACTAGCGATAGGAGACACTAGTGAAGAAGCGACGGATAAGTTGCAACTATCAGTAAATACAATACAGATCTGGACCATAAAATGGCAAATTAAATTAAATTAGTAAGCATTTAGATTCAAGTAATTGCTGTTTATTAAGATAGGTCAGAAAATAATTGAAAATTGGTCACTTGTAACCAGATAGCAGTATACAAACATCGTATAGGTGTTATACAAAATAAAAACTATTGGGACTTCGTTTTATATTAGCAACTAATTGTCTGATCTCTATTTACTCTAAATAAAACATCTTTCTTATATTTTAACACTCACCATTTTATTTGTTGTGGTCAATCAGTGTTGTGCATTAATCAAATAATAAATGATACAAATATATGATCTTATATTAATTGAAACCATACGTAATCTTTTCACGTCTTTATTGACCACGCTGTCTACCGGAAGCTATTATGAGCACACGATCCTTTTGCAACCCACTATACACTTGTGTGCAGAGGCAAATCATAGCAAGCACCAGAAAGTTTTGGTATTGGCATGCAATGTCACTGTTACCTTGCACTCCATACATTGACTTGTTGTTCTAAAATTATTTAGTTGAGAATGATTTTGTCCACTTTTGATTGTGATAAGTTTACTTATCTTTAATCTGCCATTTGCATATTTTAATCAATATGACCTATATCTCTATTTAAGCCTTTATTGGCTGCTAAAATAATTTATCTCAAGAGATATCATTACTTGAATATTATATTTTTTTTTATTATGGATTACTTTTCATTATTATGATTTTAACATATTTTTGGATCTTAATCCTACATATCTTTTCTGTTAGTACCTTTTTCTTCTTTTACTTCTTAGCCTTCGGTAGTTCAGTTTTGTACATAGGCCTCCCCCAACTCCCTTCATCGGTCTCTATCCTTATCAACATACTTCCAATTTGTTCCGGCTATTTTTTTGATGTTATCTTCCATCTCATATGTCTTCCTCTTTTAATCTTTGGTTTCTGCTCTCTTTGGCCTTCGGTATTTAGTCTCTTGGACTTTATAGGTCTTCAATGTTGTATTGTAGCATTCCAACATTGTTTTTTTTGTCTAACAGTGTGACCTGGGAAGCACTATTTGAGTTTGGTGGTTTTGGTGGCGGTGAATAGTTTCACATCAAGTTTTTGATGTGATATGCTCAACTTTTGTTTTTGATCTTACTTAGTCGTTTCTTTGTCTATCTGACAGTCGCATCAATATCATATCTAACCTGTTTTGGCCAACGTATTAATACTGCAACCAAAATGTAATATGGTTTCATACGCTTTCATTTTTCTATATATACGAAGATCTTTACTATAATTACTGCTATGTCAGTCAATATATATCGAGCCACTAAGAGGCACGTAATTTGTTTAGGTTATATGTTTATGCCTATATTGACTAAAATGTATGTTGAATTCCATAGATATATATTTCTTTTTTTTATTGCAGTACCTGGACCACCTGCAGACTTAAAGGTGGTAGTTAGTTCTCCCCAATCGCTTAAAGTTTCTTGGCTGAAGCCTGTGGAACCCAACGGAGTACTAACCAAATACAATCTATACCGAAGGAGCATGGATGGTCGCACCGAAGTGGATAATGCAAGACAAACAATTTCTAGTCAAAATACAATATTTGAAGTGAAGAGTGTTCAATCTCACATTGAATATCAGTTTTGGGTCACTGCTTCGACTAGAATAGGAGAAGGACAAAGTTCGAAGGTTGTTTCTCAGGTTGCAACACCTCGAGGTAAGATTTTTATTATGTGTTTAATTAATAATATGTTAACAATTTAAAATTGTTGCTTAAATTTTTTCTATATAAAAACAGTTTCACTATTTCTGAAAAACAGTTTGCTATTTACTTGTCAAGTAAATAGCAAACGAATTGAAATTGTTTTTTCGTTACTTCTTTAGATTATAGTGCAGGTTGTGAGGTCGCTCCCATACGAAAAGTGTTTCTGATTCGATTTCCTTATGAATTCCTGTTCAAAATTGTTACCTTTAAACAAATCGGAAATGATTGCCGAGAGAAATTTTTGAGTAGAAAATGTGTGTGTATGTGTGTTTATTTACCTAATACCATTAAAATTTTATGTTATAGTACCAGCTCGAATAATTTCTTTTGGCGGAGTGGTAGTAAGACCATGGCGAAGTACTGTATCTTTTAATTGTGAAGCTGTTGGAGCTCCTAAAAGAGAGTGGCTGAGAAATGATCAAATACTTAAGGTAAGTTTTAATATTACTGGTATTGATAATAGATATTTTGATTTGGGTAGCTGGTAGACACTTTTCGATGAATCCAAGTAGATAATAGGTCTACTTTAGAAAAACGACTCTGCCCATGCGAGCCATGCTTTGCTCTTAATTCTTAACTGAGAGAAATCATGTCCCATCTATTTTTTCTTCCAAAATCTAGTTATCCATTTTCTATTCCCACCTGATAAAAATCAGCAGCGATCATCTGTATCGGCTCAAGGCTCGGAGGAATTGATCCTAAAACTGGACTACCACAAACTGTAGCGGTTTAAATGGATACGGTGCTGCAGTGTAGAAGGCAAAGGGAAACCTCTTGCAGCATCTTAATTCCAGGTCGAACATATGAAATACGTTACCAACTGCCAAGTTGTGAGGGATCAGATATCAGTTCGCAGAATCTATTCAACTAAATCCAAACCTAACCTTAATTTAGGAAAGTGTCACATAATTAAAACAAGAAAATTGCAAGGTTTGGTCCAAAACCCTCGAAAGCTATAATATAGCTATATAGATTTTAAAACAAATGAAAAAAAAAAAAGAAATGGGGTCCCAATAATTATACTCTTCAAACTGAACGACTACGTAGTTGGATATGATCCGGTCGTCGACTGAATAATCTCCATTAAAATGCACATATTTACCAATACTCTACGGCTTAGACCGATATATGATCCTACAATAGCTGCACTAAATGAAGACACTGGCAGGTTCTTTAACAGACTATTTCCCTACCAAAAAACTTCGCTACAAAAAATATTATTGATTTATACAATAATTTCTAATTAGTGTATATTTCCGAAAATCCTAAGTACGTAAAAAGTTGTTACAATTTGTCCTAAGAGGTTCACCTGTTTCTTCACCTTCTTCTTATTCTTTTAATTCTGCTACATATTTCGCCACGTGCAGATGTGTTGAATTTTCAAAAGTAGTGAAAAGAGTTAGCTAGCGAAACAGCACTATTTCTCAGTGAAAAAGTAGAGCCATCTTTGCTCACAATCATTGGCGAACGTTTCTTGTCTCTTTATACGGTGGAAATAAAGATTATTTTCTGGACAGCATGACATGCAAATTATTTTCCAAGACAGTGTCTGACTTTATTACCTTGTTCAGTCGTGGCTTGGCAAACACTTTGATTCATGCATGGAAAAACTTGGATAACAATCCAAACTTTCACAACTCCACTCCCGAACTTCTGAAGTTATTTTTCTGCAGATACAAGAAAAACTGTGGAAATATGTGTAGTTGCCGAAAAGCAGGCCTCAAACGCTCTGCGGTGTGCCTCAATTGTTCTGAGTAAAACCTGCAGTAATAGCATACAAATATCAAAATTAATTGACAAAAATGAACTCAAAGATAAACTACCCACAATTACTGAATTAGATCCTCAACCGCAGCCTAGACTATCAAAGAAAATGAAAAAACACTAGCTGGAAAACAACTTTTTGAATATATAATTATGTTCAATATTGCATGGAAATTGTCGGTGTATTAGGTCTACTGGGGATATCACTTAAAAACGCGTCTCCAGAAAGTACCTTAAAGATAGTGGAGAAAAAGGTCGATAATAAATTAATCATAACATAGGAATGTCAAAAAAAAATGATAAACATAAAAATCTATAATAGAAACCTAAGCCGTATGGTTCGATTTTATCGTATTCTTATGAGAATTCAAGTACGGAGTCAAATTCGGAGCGCTGTAAAACTTACACAAATTAATGAAATTACACACAAAATTGTATTGTAAATTATTCGTTAATATGGTATATGATATTGTATATGTACTTTTATGGTATTGTCCTGATGGTATTTTATTGTCAAAAGTAATAAGGCCTGGAGGCCCAAAAGAAATATTTTCCAACAATTTTTAGTTTTTTTTTGTTTATATTTTTTTTATTTTTCATATTACAATAATTAAGTTGGTACAATGGACAATGTAATTTGTCACAAATAATATCTTGTAAAATTTTCTGTAGAATTTCTGATTTATAAGATACAGTGTGCGCATATTTTTAATATAGTTATTGAGAATAACCTAAAAAACTTTTAGGGGGGAGCCAATCATAACATTCAGCTAATGGATACAGGAGAATTAATTCTGTCAAAATTGCAAATAGGAGATGTTGGAAATTACACTTGTCATGTAGATAATGGTCAGGGAACGGACAGAATTATATATCATTTAATAGTACAGGTAAGTTATACAGGCACATTAATGTTTGTTTTTGTAAAAAAAAAATATTTAAAAACGTTTCTTTTACCGTTGTGAAACAATCAATGGCGGCTTGTAAAATATTAATCTGAAAAACGACTCCTATCGTTTAAACTATTTATATAGAAAGGGTAAATGTAGCAAGTGTAGTAAAGAAAGTAAGCAGGTCCATTTGGAATATCATGAAGGAAGAGTGTATGCCCAAACTTACGAAGGAAAATTGGGAATCTACAGTTTCAGGTTTTTTTAAAAAAGCTAAATTTCCTCATTGTTTAGGAGCTGTTGACGGAAAACGTATTCGGATTATTTCTCCAGTATGAAGTGGATCTATGTTCTTTAATTATAAAGAGTATTTTTCTGTTGTTTTAATGGCTGTAGTTGACTCTTACTACAGGGTATTGTACGTTTACATTGGAAGCTATGGTAAGGAATGTGATTCATTCATTTTTAGGGACTCTACCCTTTGGAATAACGTCGATCAAATACATTGGATCTACCAGAAGAGTAGTGTTTACCAGGAACAGACAATCCAAAGTTGCCGTAAATTTTCATCGGCGATGAAGCATTTGGGTTGCACAAGCATACTACGGAGTTGAATCCTGGACAATCACTGCAGCAATGGAGAAAAAACTTGAAGCCTTCGAGATGTGGCTATACAGAAGAATCCTAAGGATATCATGGACAGACAAGATAACTAACTAGACTTTACTACAAAGAATGGAGAAAGAAAGAAAAGTGATGTATACGATTAGAAGGAGAAAGTCAGAATATCTCGGACACATAATGAGAAATCGCACTAAATACAGATTACTGAAAATAATCCTTCAAGGCAAAGTATTCGGAAAGCGAAGAATTGGGAGAAGAATATCATGGTTAAAAAACCTAAGGAAATGGTTCTCTACAATAACAACTAATCTATTTAATGAATCAGTTAATAAAATAATTATAGCCAGAATAATCGAAAATATTCGAAACGAATGGACACTAAAAGAATATAGAATAAAACGCCGTCTAACCTTTAGTTATTATAATGCTTTTATTAGTCCTAATTTATTGTCTTTATTCTAATTTATTAAAACTTTATCACAATAATTTATCAAAAGTCTTTATTTTATACTAATTTATTTTACACTTAATAATTACAAATAATTTATTTGCGTTCGAACAATTTAACGCGAGATCGCGATCTTCTTGTTGACTAACTGCTCAATGAAAATCTTCCGTTATTTATATGAAATCAGGTGTTAAAATGGAACATCGCCGAAGGTTCGATGGCATTCTCGACTAGACAGAGCAGCGACTGGTCTCAAAACTGGTATGTTTTTCATCGGCTCGTCCCCAGAAAGTTCGATTGTTGTTCATTTTTAGCGAAGGGACCCAAAGGGTGTCAGGTAGATTTTTGACCTAGAAATTACGAGAATCAATAAAAAAGAATTAGTCATAAAATGTTTACAGTTCTATACGCCATAACATTTAAAATCGTAACACTATATTAGATATAGCCATATATTTTTTAATTTAAGCAAATACATAATTATGCATTTCTATATTTCGCAGTATATTATGAGATGCATTAATTATTAATTTTTGTCAGTTTTCTTTTATAATCTTCCAGTAACAGCTACTATTAAATTAATTTCCAGATTCCTCCTATTGCCCCATTACTGTACGTGACTAGTGCAACTAGTAGTAGTGTTCTACTTCACTGGAAAGCTGGAAACAACGGTGGTGCTTCAATAAGTGGTTTTACACTTAATTATAAGAAGGAACACGGCGATATTGAGGAAGTTCATTTATCAAGACATGCAACGAGTTATGAATTGAAAGTAAGTCTCTAGGTTATTAACTTTTATGTGGCATGAAAACGTACGCTATTAAAAAACAATTGTGTACAAATTATAATTTTTTTTATTAAATTTTCAAATTTACAATGTGCTATTACAAGCTATTAGTAAATGTGATTATTGCACATACATGAGAGGAGAAATTATCCACTGAATAACACTCACAATACTAACACTAACAAGTTAAATTAATGTAATGGATATTATGTCGGTGTCATCTGCAAACATGGCTACTGTGGTCGTAGGTCGTGAAATAGGTCGTCATAGAAATAACACCAGAAATGTAACACATACAAATACAGAGGTCAGATGTATCTGTTCAGATGTTTCATCATCCCAAGATACATCAAAGTACCATAACGGTTGTAGAAGACGTTTGACTAGCAAAAAGACATGGAAAAGGAATAAAAACAAGAGGATAGCAACAAAAATACGACTGATTTACGAACGACTAACCCGCTTTGTACAGGGTTTGTCAAAGGGACGAGAAGAATGAGAAAAGAAGTCAGTCGTAGGATTCCATTTTAGGCCCAGTACCGTAAAAATGAAAAGTTCCTCTGTGTTAACGAACAACATGTCAAAATGCCTAAGCCAAGCCTGAAAATAAATAAAGATGGTTGCTGACGATGTTGCTTTGTCTAGCGAAAAGTGTATATGAGGTACAGGAGAGGACCCAGGACACTTCCTTGAGGTACACCGGATTTTATGGGATAGTAATCAGAGGTTTCTGTAAGGAATCTGACTTGAAAGTGACGTTCTGTGAGGTGTGATTTTAAGAGTAGATAGTGAGAAGTAAGAAAGGATGACTTAAGTTTACACAGGAGGAAGGCAGCAGTGCAAATTTTTTTCTCTTCGATGCATACATTAATGTTTTTAACAATCCTATGACATTGTTGTAGAGTTGAATGGGTTTCACGGAAACCAAACTGGTGTGTTGGGATCACTGAATTAATTTCGATGTCTTCTGAGATTCTTTGGAGCGAAATATTCTAAGAATTTTGACATTATTGGAAGTAAGCTGATTTGTCTATATGCAGTAGTAATATTTGGTGGTTTATTTGGTTTACTAATCATAATAATTTGTGTGAACTTCCAATTAATCGGGTAGTAGGCTAATCTTACGATACTATTATATATCATTGTTAGTAGGACAATTGCTTTTCTCGGTAATTTTTTAAATATTAGCCCGGTAATCATGTCGAAGCCTGGTACTTTGTAGTTATTGCATCTAGAAATTTGTTCTTTCACAATATTAGGAGTAAATCATTTGATTGGTAGCGTCATTGAGCATGGAGTCTCTAAAAAGTTTTTAACTTGTTCTTCATTATTATTGTTATTAAGTTCAGGTGCACCAAAAACATGTGAGAGACGTGCAGCAAAGATTTATGCCTTTTCTTGTTCAGTTTTTCTCCAGCTTCCATCGCCTTTCCTTAGAGGTGGTATGTGCTGTTAGGCCTCTGAAATGATTTGGTTGCTTTCTAGATGCTGTGGTCTTCTTTTGACAGGCTGTTGATGAATAGTTCAAATGTATTATTCCTCGCGTCTTGTAGAGCAATTTTAAGTTGCCGTGTTAATCTATTGTATTCATTTTTATCTATAGGATTGGGACTTTTTTGCCATATGCGCCTGGCTCTTCTTTTTAGTGCAACAAGACGTTTTATATATACGGGTATGTTGGCGTCACTTGGTTCTTTGTTATTCTGAGGGGGTGTAGCTATTTCTGTGGCTGCATGTATAGTTTTGGGTAAGAAGAAGCACAGCATTATCGATATCGTCTGGTTGCCTTAATCTTATATTTAAATTTAAATTTTCATTTATGTAAGACTCGAATACATTTCAGTTGGTCTTTGATGTTCTCAACTTCGGACGTTTTATAATTTACGTAGATAGTGTGAGTATGGTCGGTGGACAGATCCAAGGATGCTTGTATGTCAAAATAATTTAAGGCCATGCTACGGAGGATAAAGAAGTCGAGTAGATCTGGGATTTTGTTTGGATCTAATGGCCAGTAGGTGGATTGCCCTGTAGATAAGTAAGAGCTGTTTGTGTTAGCTATGGTTTGTCTGAGATTTTTTGTCGTACATAGTCTCGACCCAGAGTCTGTATGCTTATCAGTCCAGTCACCTCCAATTAAGAATTTGTTTGATATATGTTTGAAGAAGTCTTTATATTCTGCTGTAGTGATATTATGCCTTGGAGGGTTGTATATTGCCGCAATGTCAAAAGACCATGGTTGAGAACTGATACAGATTACTGCAGCTTGTATTTTTTCCGTTTGATACATTGTTTTCTCATAGTGTGGTATGGTGTTAAGTACAATAATAGCAGCACCACCGTATGCTGTTTCTTCACGATAGAATAATGAGGATCTTAAACATCGTTCTGTCAGTGAAATATGTTTCCAATATGAGTAGAACATCAATTTTGGAATGTTCAAGAAAGTTAGTTCAAACTTCTGTATTATGGTTGTCTAGGCCGTTGGAATTCCATTGTACAATTCGTAGTGACTTAAGTTCCATTACTGAATTTATTTATTACTGTGGAAAGCATGTTTAAAATCACGTTATTTTGATTTATTAGTTTTGAAAACATAGTTTTGAATTCGTTAAGGAAACTCTTCATCATCTATTCAATATCACTGTTTGTATTACTTACATGTGTTCCACTTGTTATTTGAGCATAAGTTGCATGATTTTGGTTGTATGAATTCGTATTATTATGGACATTATTTACATTTGTTCCACCTGTTGCTTGTATGTAAGTCGCGTGATTTTAATTGCTTAAGTTCAGATTATTATGTACTGTATTTCTGCTATATTGCAGTTGATTGTTCGCTGGAGTGTGCGATGATACTCCTCTTGCTCTGTTTCTACTGCTATTTAACTCTTTATATGCCATGCATCCTTTGTAGTATATAATAGTATATATAGTAAATTATTTTGTAATTATAAAATCATAATTTTTATTTCAATTGTACATATTTTCCAATTAAACATCATGCAAAATTATTCGATAATAACTCCACAAATGTCACGTTTCTTTAAAATAATTTTTGCTCGGCAATGTGTTTGATGTAGTATATTATATTTTTAGGGTCTTTCCTGTGGAACGACCTACCACCTCTACTTGATTGCTCACAACAAAATCGGAAGCTCGCCGGCCAGCCATCCGCTCCAGGCCAGAACGCAAGGCCATCCACCCGGAGTTCCTTCCTTAACTTCTTTCATTTCTCCGAATTCCACTTCAGTTATTTTACGCCTTCACGTCTGGCCTGACAACGGTTGCCCCATTTTATATTTTATACTACAGTATAAGAAAGCGACTGATACGCAGTGGACCTTAGGTAAGAGCTTTGATTTATAATTTGTTTGGAAATAAAATAAAAGAAAATATGAGATACAACGTGCATTTAAAAACACAGTTTGTAAAAATACACTGTAATACTTTTACACTATTTATCCTTTTCATTCCGTAAAATTGTCAAATCTTTAGGCAATTTTGTAAACTGGAATATATGGTGTGATGAGATATTAACATTTTAAGATTCGTAAATAATCTGATAAATATTGTTCTAATTATAATTGTTTTGAATTGGACAACATAATCAGTAACATAGTTGTAACGATGAGTCCAAGCCATCACCGTTAAACCAACGTGCGCGCGAACCAACCCATGAAGTAGGAGTGTATCGACAGTAGAAAGGGCAAAACTTCGCTATATAAACCGCAACATTTCCTCATAGAGGCAGAATCGACAGGTGTTGACTGAAGGTTCTCTTCTTCCTACCCCGGCTTGTGGACGTGTTGAGTTCACAAGTTGTTTCCGTTCCATACTGTCGTCACCCGAAGAGCGTGTTGAGCTCTTCATTACCCGTACTCCGAAGCAGTCGTGTTGAGACTGTCGAGGAGTGTCCTATTAACCCGAATCACTTAAGGGACGTGTTGAGTTCCTTTCTTTTCTTTGTACCTATCGTCCGCTGTTATTACAACGTTCACGTAAAATTCTGAAAACACACTCGATTGCCGATAAGACTAACTTCATACGACAAGGTCAAACTTAATTTGAATAAATAGGCCAGGTACTGAGAAGACTAAACTAAATTGTAAATATGGACATAAGATTTTTGTCAATTTAATTTAAGGAAGACAATAAAGTTTTATTTTTATTTTGAACTCTGTCTCTGACTGTCCAAAAGCTACCCGGATAGTGACTCCTACGAGAGGACGTCATATAGTGTGTTAGTTACAAAACATTTGAATTACAAACTTGCACGCTCAGCAATATTTATTGTTATTTTAAATGAAATAATGAGAACCCAAAGCGTCACAACTCGATGTTATGTAATGGTAAACAGACCAGTATCTGGTTATTATTTTTACACATTAATCAATAATTTATTACTTGTTTTTTAGTTGAGTTGTGTTTTGTAAATATTTAGTATATAAAGGAATGTCATCTTTAAGATATTCGGGTGTATATAACAAATAATAAATCGATACATTACAAGCTTAACAATATTTGATCATTTCATTCCTCCCAGGCAAGATGTAGTTGGTTAAGAAGTATCGCCAACTTATTTAGATATTAGTACGGTGGCAATATGAGAAATGACTCACACAACCAGAAAATATTCTGTTATAGAAGATCACAATATAATTTAATATATTGTGATATGGGTCAAACTGATTTTCCCTTCACTTTTTTTAATTAACTTGAACTTTTTGAAAGATATTTCCGATCCAGGATAAGGTTTGGATAATATTATAGAATATTTATATCTTCCGTTGACAATAATATAATCTATTTGATTTCTGACTATATTATTGTTCTTGTCAGCTGGTGACCTCCGTGTGTATAGTCTACGTTTCGGAAGTTTTAATAAGATCAACCAAATATTAAATCAACCACCTTATCATCATGTTTATTCCCACCCTACCCAACACAACTCTCCACTACTTCTTGGCCCACTTTAGTATTAAAATCGTTCATTATATTCTCTTTATGATGCCTTTCGGTTAGATTTAATATATCGCCAATTTGTTCATAAAAGGCCTCTATGGTATTTTAATCCTTGTCAGCACTGATGCATATACTTAGATTATGTTTATTTTACGTTTTAAATGAGAGTTGAAAGACAGCATCAATACTTGATCATAGTAGAGAACAAAGTTACAAACAGCTTTTTGAGAATTTTTATACTACTAGTATGCCAACTTCTTCTACAATCGAACTATCAACTCAAGTAGGTAATCGAAACTTTCTTGGTTGATTCTTATCCTATAATCATCTGGTTTTTACTCACGCAGAAAATTTAGTAAATATTCATAAGTAAAGCGGTTTCTTAATTCGTACCACTCCTTGAACCACCGTAGTGGTTTCTTTTGTTCTTTTTTACTATTGAGGGCAATCAGTGTTAAGGCGAGAAAGACAAAATCTCGAAACATGTCAAAACTCAACAGAACGAACACAATCACATAAATAATGTAACGTGTGAAATGTTGAAGCATGTTTAAAATTTCCTCAAGTATTCCTCTCAGAAAATTACTTTTACGCCGCCTATGTCCACGAACTTTACTAGATCCATTAGAAATAATTCTTAATCAATTAGCGATTTGTCACGCCTGCTCGCAACAACGAAAAGATCACAGTAGGTGTTCCTTTCTCTTATTACCTTTCGCTAGCTAAATAGAAACTCTTCCTCTTAACAAATAAGTTCGTTCCTATTGTCGAACAACACAGTCTAAAAAAAGCTGAGATGTGGCTCTTCTGTGAAATAACCTTCTCAGTCAGAAGAAAGTAGGGAAGTATATGAAATAAGACCGAACCACACTTGTCAATTAAGTATCATTTTCGCTTGGCACTCTCCGGCAAATACTCCCCCTCTTTTTTATCCCTATTTGGTCCAAATGTCTAAAATTGAATTCATTTTCGTTGTGGTTCGTGTTGCATGCGGTTGTCTTCATCAAATGGCAGTAATTGTAATTTCAATTCACCATTATCCATCTATCTTCATAAAGTACAGTAAATTTTCTCTCTTGTCGTTGCAGACACGTAGTCAAATCTGTTTGCTGTTCCATTTTGATGCACTTCTCTTTTGTTACTTGTTTCACTGACACCGCCAAAGACGTCCTTTCTCGATTGTTACCTGAGTCACCGACATTGCTTTATAGTACTTTCGCTTTGCTGCCTAAATTATTATTTTTTTTTGTTTTGATATGAATTTGACATGACAGATAGAAAAAACAACTAGACCACTCAGTGAATATTGTAGATTCAACTATTCACAGAGCGGCCCATACTTTACCTAGTCTATTCTTATTAAATCTATGTAAATAACATTGTTTTATTTATTTTTTAGTGTCTAATGCATTAAAACCACAACGAAGAACGTCTATTACTGGTTTAACTCCTGCTACACAATATGTAGTCAAATTAGAAGCTCATAATGTTGCAGGATTTTCGACTGAAGAATTTAATTTTATGACGCTTACTAAAGAGGGAGGTAAGTTAGGTAGCTTGTTTGAAAATAAAATATTTAAACCAAAAATTGGCCTCTTAAAATAAGTTGAAGCTCACGAATATTTCCCTTATTCTTAATACTTTAACACGTGTTTTGTCTGTTAACTAGACTTTTCATTTTATCGAATTGCTTGCATTTAAAGAGTTTTGGTGCAGCTTTCCCGAAAATAAAACTTTCGGTATAATTTATTAAATCGAAAGTACCATTTTACAAAACTTGTACCAAAAGTAGCTACTTTCGGGACTAATTTTTTCACTTTCGGGGCGATTTTGGGTAATTTTTGTCCATTTGTCCATAATAATGGTCCATTTTCATGTGTATTACATTCTACGCTTGCTGGATAGCCCAAATTTAACGAAGTAAGTCTAAAACGTTTAATCACAAAAAACTTTTATCATCCATTAACTTCGAGTTTTTATCGAAGTTAATTAACTTTCTTCATTTAAAAAAACGTTTCTTGGCTTATTTCAGATGCCCCTGATGATGCTGTAGATAGCGAAAGTACTTGGGCATAGAGACCGACCGATTAATCGGCTTCGGCCACGTTCGGCCAATATTTAAACCTTAAAACACAATTAAAAAATGTCGTAAAATTGTGGGACATTTTAAAAGGAGTGAGCAAGCGTGCAGGTACCTGAGGCAGTTTCAACAAACTTGCAATTTGCTACAGCATATGTTAATTCAGGATGTGGAAACAAGATGGAATAGCACTTACCTAATGTTGGAGCGGCTATTCGAACAGAAAGTTGCAATAAGACAGAAAGTGCAATAAATTTGTATATGGCTGAACGTGGTGGTATTGAAGTTCCCAGTTCAACAGAATGGGAATTGATCAACAATTTAATTTCAGTTTTAACTTGTTTTTACCAAGCGACGCTAGATCTTTCAGCCGATTCTGCTTGTGTATCATTGGTTATCCCACTAATAAAAATGCTAAATGGTAAAGTTTCTGCGAAAGAGCAGGACTCTGAGGAGATAAGTTTATTAAAGCTACGACTTCGTGAATCAATAATTAAAAGATTCGCTAATATTACAAATTTGCCAGAATTTTCAATTGCGACTCTTCTAGATCCTCGCTTTAAATCAAAATATTTGACAGACGAGGAAGTAATTACATGTAAAGCAAGAATTTTAAAATTTCTACGTGAATCTAATAGCTCTAAGTTTAGTTATACAAATAAAGTTCCTATGGCTATCGCTTTCAACATCATCATCTACAACTACACATGTAGAAGATCTAGAAAAAAATAGTCTTTGGAATTCACATGATACTTTTGTCACAGCCGTTCTAGATACAACAAAAGAAATTCATAACGACAACGATCCCAATGCAGATTACCTAGATTCGTATTTACGAGAGGCTTTGCTTTTAATAAGTGCCGACATATTTCATTATTGGGAATCAAGTCCCTATATTTCTTTAAAAACTGCAGCCAAAAATTTCTATCGGCGGCACCACCAACGAGTGTACCTAGTGAGCAGTTATCAGCTCTGCTGGGCAACTATACGCTGACAGAAGAACTAATTTGTTGGGAGAAAACGCTGACAAGCTTCTTTTTCTTACGTATAATATTAGGATGTTTGATTTCGAATATTAACTACCAGATCCAGTAATCATAAATACTCACTTGCTTTAATGTTTTTTAATGTTATTTATTTTTATTATTGCTTCTATTACCAAATAATGTATAAATATTTGACTTTTTTATCTCATAATTTTATATTTTTGTTTATCACTTATCAGTGAATAAAAATATAATGCACATTATTTAAATTCATCATCATCACAGTCATAACATCTAGTAATGTGTTGTGGTTCATAATTGGGCCTCAGCCCAATTAAATATTTAATATTTAAATTATTAACATATAATAGGTATATTTTTAGTCACCTTCGGCTTCGGCTTCGGCCGAAGGTATCCTTCAGGCCGAACTTCGGCATCGGCTTCGGCTTCAAAAAAATCACATTCGGTCGGTCTCTACCGGGGCAAGATTTGATTAAACACTTGTGCTCGATATTTGCCTTAATTTTCAAAGTATATTTTAATTGTTAAACAATATTCAAAATTTCAAAATTCAAATTAAAAAAACTACAATTTTTCTTACTAAAATAATACTTTTGTTTTAGACGTGCCACCTCCTGATTTGATGAAACAAGGAGACGATGACTCGCCTTTCTATTCTGACTTAAAAGTTGTTATACCGTTAGTTGTTTTATTTGTAGCAATAATTATTTCTGCCATAGGAGCTCTGATATGTATGAAGCGACGTAAGTTGCCAAATTTTAAGATCAAATCTACCAATTTTGATAAAGGCTACGTTTCAGGTCACAACGATGCAGCCAAGGAACAATTGGATAACCAACAAAATGCCGAAGCTCAAAGAGAGAGATATTATGCCACTATTCATAAGGTTTCTTTGCAAGCCGGAGAAAAAATTCCAGGTAGGTTAATTCTATGTAACAAAACAACAACCAATGACTTTTTGCTATTGTTGTTTACCGATTGTTTACCAATGAAATGACACCCCAGTCGTGTAACTATAAAAAGACACTTGTGATGCCAATTTTATTGTTTGGGCTTCGTGTAGGTATGTCTTATCTTAATGTAAACTGTACATTAAGAAATTTAGCAGTGCAGTGACTGTAGTATTTAGCTTTTGATCGCCCAGAAAAAGGTCACCATGTGCCCGTTGCTGCTATAATTGCCACTCGCTGGCAGTACTCGAGCAAAGCGCATTGGTACCTTTTTTCGAAAATCTCCCTTGAAATCTCAAGTTTCGCCTGCATTAAGCGACTATATGTAGCCATAATTAGAAACATTTAATATTAATTTCCGTTTTAAACGACATAATATGGTCGAAATCGAAAGTTATATATTTTTTTGTGAAAAATGAGGAAATCGTTATATTTGGTCTTATACATATAATAAAACATTACAAATTGCCTTTTTTCGATTGCACAAGTAGGTGTTAAATGACTATACATCTTCAGCAAAAAGTTTCACCAATGCTGTTTTTGTGGATGTATTTCTTGTGACGTAAGATGATTTGTAATGTGAAAGTTTCAATTCAGCGTTTTTTACTCATATTTGCGAGTGTTTACTATGCTGAGATCAATTTTGTACGATGGAAGGATAAGGTTTCCGATGTAACAAAAATGTCGATTCATCAGTAAATAAAACATTTTTTAAAAAATTTTCATTTTCATTTTGTTGCGTTTAAAATTGTCCTTGTCCAATAACTCTTGAGTAGTTGAAACTTTAAAACAATGGTTACGGTTTCATTTCAAAATATTCCTGACAGTTCTATCATTCATGTCAACGTCTTCAGCAATGGTTTTGCTTGAACAAGAATCACTAGTTTCACCAACACTACAAACATAAATTTTCCTATTTTGCCGAACTTGTCCTCGACTAATAACTCTCGAATAATTGAAACTTTAAAACAATGATTACCGTTTCATTTCAAAATATTCCTGACAGTTCTATCATTCATGTCAACTTCTTCAGCAATGGTTTTGCTTGAACAAGGTTCACTAGTTTTAGCAACACTACAAACAATCAATTTTCCTATTTTGCCGAACTTCGTTGAGTGTTTTCTTTCGTGGTAGATCCGTACATTTTCGACAGTTTTGTATACAACCAAACCATTTACATTTCTTAATAATACGACTAGTAGTTGATTGTGTCGGGATTGGCATTCTTCTTCTTCTTCAAGTTCCACTCCTATCGGAGATTGGAAATCATTCTGGCAATTATAATTTTATTGGTTCGCCGAATGTCATTGAACTGCATCAACCATTCAGATGCTACCGATTTTACGCTCCTACGCTTCTACTTGATTTACCCTGCATTATATTCCTTAGTAGTTCGTACTTTTCACCTCTCATGATGTGCCCCAAGTATTCCAATTTCTTGATTTTTATGGAATTTAAAACTTCGCATTGGTTTCCTAGTTGTTCGAGAACTTGTTCGTTTGTTTTGCGATCCATTCATGATATTTTCAAAATACGTCGGTAACACCACATTTTGAATGCTTCTAGGTTTTTAATGTTGGATTTTTTAAGTGTCCAAGCTTCAACTCCATACAAAAGGGTAGAGAAAATATAACATCGAAGCATTCTTATCCCGAGCGATATATTGATATTGCGATTACAAAAAAGTTTCTCTCATTCTATTAAAAGTTGACCGCGCAATTTCAATGCGGCATCTTATTTCTTTTGTCTGATCAGTATCTTCTGTGATCCATGCTCCAAGGTATTTGTACGAAGATATTTGTTTAATTTCTGTATTATCTAGTACCAGCTTAACTTTGATGTTTTGTGCTTTTGTAAATACTATGAACTTGGTTTTCTTCAAATTGATTTTTAGTCCATAATCGTTGCAATATATATTTAGTTGTTCAGCAAGGTGTTGCAGTTCTTCTAGTGTTCCTGGCAGAAGGACGGTGTCGTCAGCATATCTTATGTTATTAAGTGGCTCACCGTTTATTATAAGGCCCTCACTGATCTCGGCAAGCGCTAATTTTGAGATGGCTTCACTGTATAAATTGAATAACAAGGGTGATAAAATACACCCTTGGCGGACCCCACGGCGAATCTGGATATCCTTGGTCAGTTCGTTTTCAACTTTCATTTTTGCTGTTTGATTCCAATAGACGGATTGGCATAGGCACAAATAAATAAATTTATAATGTCACAATACCAGTTGCCCCCAAAATACCATTGTATTTTGTACGTTTGTCTTCGTTTGTATACGTGGTTAGAAACACTACTTTAATTTCAGTTTATAGCATTTATAATGAGAAGCAAAGGTATTTGAAATGCTCGGCCAGTGATATTCCTTGGGGCTGTTACCAAATCGGTAGATATTTTCGGCAAAAATCGATAGATTTGGATATATCATATACACCTTTTAAAATTTTAAACAAAATTGTTGATAAAAAAAACATTATTATTACCTGGATAAAAATCCAAAATTACGAATATCCCAAACGGAAAAATCGGTAGACGGAACAACATTGTCGGTGTGCGCATACCAAATACGCTTCACAAAAGAGCAGCAATCCCAAACACACACACACACACACACACACACACACACACACACACACACACACACACACACACACACGTTCATCCCAACCTCTAGGAACATGAGTGTACCACTGCTAGTCAGCGGGACCCCCATGTCCGAAGATCAAACCGGTCTCGTTCCAAAAGAGCATGTCATTTTTGCTCGGTACTTATCTGACTCCCAGGTTTTTCTTCCACCCCTCCCCTACGTTTGACATAAGCAAGGGAGGCCATGAACTATTACGTCGGGCGATTTGGGAAAAGAAACACCCTCCGTTTTACATGATTGTGGTGATGCCACCTTGCTCAAGGGTAGCTTTGCAGCTATTCTCCCTATTTACTTTACTGAATTTACTTTGTTGAAACATGACTTCTGGACTGAGGTCCCTACAGTGTGTGCGGGCGGAGATCCACCAACCTGGATTGGAGTCCCTCCGTCCAGGAATTGTGTGTGCTCGGTAACTCAGCTGCCGAGTTGGCAAAATTAATTTTGTTCTCCTCCACAGCTGGGCATCCGAAGGGTCTGGCCATCGAGCCAATGTATGCCGCATGTGGTCGCAATGCTCAGATTTCGCGAACAGGCCACCCAATCGGCCTTCCTTAAGGGCCAAGTAGCCTAAGTGGCTGTATAAAAGTGCCTGAGGGGCCTTTTATGGCAACTGGAAAATGCAAGCAAGGGACAGAACAGAATGGCGTAGAAAGCTTAAGCAGGTCGAGGCCCTCTAAGGGCTGTAGCACCAAGATGATGATGATGATGAGGGGTCTTTCATACCAGTATGTATATGTGTGTGGGTATGAGCCCGATCTGTACCTACAATCCTGTGGAAAAAACATATTAACTATAAAACATTGTATTGAACTTTACACTGGTTAATTGCAAATCAGGGAATCTCGATAATTATATTAAAAATCCTATGTTCCGTTAAAAAATTTCCAAATTTGCATTATATATTAATTGTTATATTATATAACAATTAATTAACTACTCTATAAAATATAATTGTTTGCAGTATTTTATTATATTCATATATTTTTATTTTTGCAGAGACTTCAGAAGACATATCACCGTACGCAACATTTCAATTATCAGAACCTAGTACTTTACCACAAAATACGATGCTTCATAGTTTCATGTACCACGAGCATCCAATGACTGAAGGTTGTGCGTCTCCGCCGCCAGCCACCTCATCTGTTCAACGAAACTCGCCATATTACAATATCGCAAGTATCAAAGTACTTATCTACTGAATATTTATAAAGTAATTTTTACCTACTGAAGGATTAAAATAATTTTTTTGTAATGATGTAACTGTAAGAATTTTCTGGAAAGTCAAATATCGGCGGATTCTCATTTTTCTCTTGATTTCTAATGTTTTGTGTATTTTCTCAGCAGCGTCTTATAAATTCGTATTTTAATCTCCATAGTCTTTTGCCGCTTTTTGATCTGTTTATTTGATTCGCTTTTGATTGCAATAATTACTATTTAAATGGGAATAAGCCATAATTAAAAGTTAAAGTACGTTTATTGACGTTTCAATTTCCACTTCGGAAATCGTTCTCAAAATACAAACATTAATAAATTGAATGAAACGTAGCTTCCACGCCAGAGTCAGAATTATAGTTTATTCGTCTTCCGGTTTGGACCGTGTCATTTGTGAGTGACCCAAAAGTGGTTCATCTCGACGTTTCGCTACAATTGTATGTAGCTTCTTCAGGAGAACAAGGAAAAAGAAAAAGAAAACAAAAGACAGGAAGATGGGTAGTTAGCAACGGTAACTCAGTTACTCAACGCAACCAGAGGCGAATACTAACTACCAAGATGGGCATTTGGTCACAGTAACTCAACTACTTAACGCAGCCAGAGGTGAAAACCAAATGTCAGGACAGGGATTCACGTCCAACAGCTCAGAACACTAACGCGTCGAGAGGCGGGGAGTGAATGCACTCATCATTCATTCATAAATTCATTCATTAATTCATTCATCAATCATTCACTCCACGCCTCTCGACGCGTTAGTGTTCTGAGCTGTTATATGAGCTGTGAAACTATAATTAATAAATTGATTGCAATGTTTTAACATATGGGTTTTTGGTTTCAATGGGTGGGTATATACAATGTAAAAAACTTGTCAGATCTCAGGCTAGTTTAAACTTCTTTATATGTTTTACATAGTTTCTTTAAATTGTTTTAATGCGAGCTTGAATACGACAACTGAACCTATCGAAAGTGACTCAAAGTGATAAAAATCGACTACAATTAATGTTTTAGTTTTATTGTTATCTAAGACATGTGTATATGTCATTTCTTTATTTTAGCAAAAATTTCAAAGTACAAAAGGCCATGGCCGACGACGTGCCAATAGAAAAAATGATGTGGATAGCGACGATAGTGAATCGGATCAAGACCAGCTAACGTCGAGTCGGACAGAGTCTTCCAATCAATTAGATATGAAACATAAGCATAGTAAGTCTATAAAATTTTATTTAAATAACAATAAAGTACTATATTTTTTATCTAGTTCTCTTTCTTCCTCGTTTTTTCTTTCACCAAGACTATTTCGCCTACTTTTTATAATGAATTGAATATTGTCTGACAGATTAGTAGCGAGCTTGTCAAACATAAATCTACAAAGCTTTTATGTTACATATTGTCAAGGACTATAAATATCGTAATCATCATCAACACCATCATCAACTTGTATACATCTACTGCTGGACATAGGTCTCCCTCAGCTCTTTCAATTTGTCTCTGTCTCTTGCGGCTTGTATCCAGTTATTGCTCATAAGCTTCAGTTCGTCAGTCCATCTAGTTGGTGGGCTTCCTCTGCTCCGTATTGCCGCTTGTCTTGGTCTCCACTCGATAATACGCTTTGTCCATCTGTTGTCTGATAGTCTGGCGACTTATCCTGCCCAATTCCATTTTAGCCACGCGATTTTTTCGATCACGTCTGTTGTTTTTGTTCTACGACGTATTTCTTCGTTTGGGATTCGGTCTCTCAGAGAGACACTCAACATCTGGCGCTCCATAGCCAGCCGAGTCACGCGAATCTTAGTCACTACCTTTTTTATGTTTTTGCTCCATATACTCTAGTCGTCAGAGAGCGTATTTTTCCGTCAACTGTCTTCTTTTACCTATTAGCTTTTTGGTATTTTGGTTTAGTTTTTCTTTATGGGTCAGAACTGTCGCGCAGGACTCCCTTTCCGTTTCTTTTGGAGCTTTCAATATGCTCTTTATGTTTGCTTGATCTACATCTCTTATTTTATCTTGAAAGTCTTGTATATGTCTGGTTAGTGTATCTTCATACATGTCGTTGGTTTCTGAGGGAATGCATTTCTTTTTTCTTGTTTTTAGGATCATCTTTGTTCTTTCCAATTTGACATTTAATAGTACCTCAGCTCGGATTAACCTGTGATCGCTTCCTATTAAAAATTTGTTGAGTACTTCGATGTCTTTAATTGTTTCTTTCTTGTTGGTTAAAATTTAGTTTATTTCATTTTTGACACTACCATCTGGGCTGATCCATATCCATTTACGCTGAGGCTTTTTATCATGAATACATTTTCTTGGTGTAAGAAGTTCAGCAATCATTGCTCTCATATCTTTCACCATATCCATACTTACCCATTGCTACTTCTGCATCATCTTGTTTAAATCCCATTTTCGCATTAAAGTCTCCCATAATTATTGTTAAATATATGCTAGTGTTGCATAAATTTTTAATGAGTTTAAAATAATAGCGACACATACATTTTTCCAATTACCCTTACGCAGACTGTATACAGAAAAATTATACCTGAACATTTTTTTTTGTTTTTACTTTTCGATTCCCCATTTTCATTTCGATTTCAATTTTCGGACGATTTTCACATTTGGTCCCATTGAAGTTAGCCTCAAATTAGCTGTCAATTAAGTTTCACAGAACGAAATATTGCGTTGGCAGTGTTGCCAAGTTATTATAATGTATATGTTATATGCTTCAAATACAAAGAGATAAAGCTTTTAAAAGGTACATTTTTATCATATTATTTTATGGATTCTGCAATTTTATACCTTATATAAAATATTAATGAAGTAATATTTGTTTCGTTTGATATTAGTTGTAACAAATTATCAGAAAATTTTTTTGGCAATTGCCCTTTGGTAGGTTAGCGGATAGATTTGGCAATAGAGTCAGAACCCTCAAACCACCAGCTGCCAGATTGCAACAAATGCCTTTTAAATTTTATTATTTATACTGACCTTTTACTATTTACTGTTAAAAACTGTTTTAAAACTATTTGCTTTTTCTTTTTTTCGTAATCGTTAAATATTATTTTTTAAATATCTTATTGCTTTTAATTGCGTATGTTTCGTTTGTAATGTAAATTTCAACACTGCGAAACACCAATATTTCATTCTGTCAAACCCATTTGAAGCTATCTTCAATGGGACCAAATGTGAAAATCGTCCCAATTTTCATACATCAAAATTAAATAAAAAAAACCGTAATTACAATATTGTTGATTCCCATGTATTAAGTTTTTGTAATAATTTTAAAACCACTTGACATGGAGTATAAAATTGATGATAATCATTGCTGCAATATGACAAGTGTAATAATATGTAGTATTTTTTTACCTTTTATATGTTTCTTTTTAGCAGCTCCTTTGTTTATAATATCTAAAGAAACTGATATAAATAGTTTTATGTATGTATTTTCTAAATAAGTGTTTAAAGAAGCCTTTATTTAATTTTAGACTTCCTTTATCATGGTGCTCAATCCAGTACCTCATCAGATATTTCGCCAATGTCAGACCAAAAGTCGCTTCCACGTAGAAATAGAAACAGGTAATCAATATTTTGTTAGATATAAAGTAAAAGATAAATAAGGAAAATAGAATTGGTACCATTATCTTTTGTCATGATTTTTTAAATGTTTTAATATTGATTATGTTCATACAATAAATCTAGTCTGGATTGTTGTCCAAATTGAGAAGTCTGTATTGTAGTCCACGACTATTGTACTATATTGTACTAATTGTTGAATGTAGAGTAAGAATTTAGTGGAAATTGTCTGGATCTTTTAAAACAAATAACGGGCTGCGCCAGGGAGACCCTCTCTCCTGTATACTGTTCAATTTGGATCTGGAAAAAGAAATACGTATTGTTACGAACATGCATTCAGCGTGGCCCGCCTAACGGTTGCATCTTGAAGCATCTCAGGCATCGAGAACCATCCATCGATAGATCCCTCGAAGGCAAGAGAACAATCGGTCACGTGCGCGAATTAGAGGTGGGAACTTTCTAGAACATAGTCACTTAGGTATATATATGTAACGATCTGAGGAGTTAGTTTAGTTGATAAGAGAGTACCGAACTGTAAAGTTATAAATAAATATATTTATATAAATTCGAACCGCTCGTTTTATTTAAAAACGGTACAGTATGTCACAAGTCACAACCACTGGTTCAATATATAATAAAAAGAAATCCTTAGGCGCTAAGTCACATGATCTAGAAGGCCATTTAATTGGTGATCTGTATAATACATCTTCCATATAACGAACGTCTATATATTTATGTAAACGAATTTTTAAATTTGGGATAAACGATGATTTTATTTTCATATAAGTATTTCTCATTTATAATTTAATGCCAAGATGTAAAATGTTGTTTATTCCTATATATTTTTAATTTTAGTTTCGTATAAACACTTCTCATTTGTAATTTAATATCTAAGCAGAGAATGTTTATTTTGTTTCCAAGATGATGTAATTCTCCCAGCATCTTTTTGAAGGTTAATTAATAATAACTTTTTGTTCATTACAAAATAACAAAGGTTAGCTTTATTCATAGCTTTGTTTTAAAATTTTCATTTTATTTCTCTGTCTGAGCTTGTTTCCTTACAAGGCTAAATAACGGTTGGCGCCAAATTCATTTTAATTTTAAAGATAATACAAACAGATTGTATATGAATTTTGAAAGAACCACACCAATCTCTTTCCGACACGAGCTAGGGGGCCTAGAATGGTTATTCTAAGTAAAAGAAAATTCTTAATAAAAGTAATAAATAGTTTGCCTACGTTACAATCCGTGATTTTTATGCTAAACCCTTAGTCAGAAGAAACACGAACTTTATTTTTTTTTGGCATTATTATTGACTTTTGTTGAGATTTGTGCTATCAAATGTATTTATTTGTGACAAAAACTTTAAAATTACCAAACACGGATTGGACCAATTTTTCACAGATTTTTAATTAATTCATTTTGTTTTTTTGTAATAGATTCCATTATAATAACAATTTTAGAATTACTAGTATTTAATGAACATGACAAAGGATAAGCTGACGTAGCAATTCTATTACAATATTTTAATGTAACCTCATGTGTCGTTTCCACCCTGTTTTACGTAATGCCAAAATAGTATGTGTACGATGTTACTCGTTTATTTGGAGTCACTATCATTGTCTAGGTAATAAAAAACTGAACAGTCAACGTTAATATTTTAAAGGAATATTAAATAGTGTAGATTTAATATAAATATATATATTTTTAATTATATTATAATATGTAGATCGTTTTTTTAACGCACTGGTGATGTTGAAATGAAGCTTATACTCCAGTCATCAGAGACGAAAATGCCGTTAAACCTCTAAAAATCATAAAAACAAGCTGAATTTTTTCAAAAATATCAATTTTAAGACGCTAAAAAATATGCAAAAAAGTTCCCATGTAGAGATGGAAAACGGAAAAAAATCGATTTACCAAGAATCTGTACCCCATAGAAAAAATATTTATAGCTAAAATAACTTTGAACAAAAACAAAACTAGTATTTTTTATGTAAAATGAACCATATGATTACGATGGTTATATATTACCTCGTCTTTATATCTCGTGTGGAGCAAAAAAATGCTGGCTTGATCCTGCAGCTCAGCATGCCTAGAAATATCAAAATCGCAGCCTATCAAACCTATTGACTTGAGAAGCTTTCAGCAAGAGGTGTCATGAAGAACTGATCATAGCGACCAAGCGATCATATCGACATCGCTTTTTGATTTTGAGTTGTGGAAACACCCATAAATGGTTTAGTTATACTTTATAGCACCAAAAATCTTAATTTTACTTGGTTATAATTTTTTTTAATGATAGCGACTCCTAACGGTAACAGTCCATGTTAGTTGGTGTTTAAAAACATATTTCGAAATAGATATACAAAAAAATCTTTGTCAAAAGGTGGTTGGCTCAGGGTGGGAGAAGCAATTCTCAAAGGCAGATGTTAAGTCATCTTTCGGTCGCAGAGACACCTTTCACTGAGAGGCAGCCCACGGATCAGAGCACTCCTGACCGGCCCGAGCTTAGTGAAGCAGAATGCGACATCGATACTCTCAAGAAGCTGAAGCTCGGATTGAGGTCCACCTTGTGGTCCCGACCTGCTGCTGGTGGAAACGGACAACCTACAGACTATTCCATTGCAGTATAATAGATTGAGCAAAAATTGTTAAAAATATATTGAATTTGGTTAATTTAAACACCAGGTACCAATGAACTTATTTGTTTGTTTTAGAAATTTTAAGATATTGTTGACTAAAAAATTACAAAAATTTAAATAATAAAAACTATTGAGTTTAGAAATAAAAAATATGATTATATATGTATATATATATATATATATATATATATATATATATATATATATATATATATATATATTGAAAGTAGTGCTCATCCATATTATTTGTTAGGATGGTGACATAAAGCAGAGCCTCAACAAATTTAATTCAAAGAATATAGATGAAGTAACATGTAAACATATAACATATGCAGTTAACGATGATGCACTGGTTAACAAGAAAGAAGAATTCTACGAGAAACTAAACCGAGAAATAACATCGATAGGAAATACGATGGAAATTAATCCTGCTTGGAGATTTTAATGGCAGGGTCGGAAAAAAAAAATAAAACTATAAAATAGTTGGTCCTTACGGAGAAAGCATAACAAATGACAATGGGACCAGACTTATCACAATATGCAAACAGAACCAGCTCCGTATTACAAATGGATTCTATCAGCATCGAGAAGTACACAAATACACCTGGGGACAGAGAACAAGGAATCTAAAATCTATAATAGATTACTTGATTGTACGCCAAAGATCAAATCTTAAAATCTACGACGTAAGAGCTTATAGAGGCGCAGTTTGTGGAAGCGATCACCATTTCTTAAAAGCAAAAATAATGTTTTCAAGAAGAAGCCAGAAAGAACAACCAGTAGTTCGCTCAGAGATGGCAGAAGATGTAAGATATAATCTTATCAGCCTAGATCAAGATAGTGTAAAAATATTGTATCAAAACAGACTGAACAAGAAACTTGAAAACATAAATTTCAATAACATCGAAGACCACTACAATTACATTAAAGAAAGAATTCACTCTGCAGCAAAAGAAGCGCTTGGATATTACGAAAAGAAAAACAAAAATACTCCATACTGGTGGGATGAAAGAAATAGACACAGCGATAAAACAAAAGAAACAAAAGTATGAACAATATTTAAGTGCAAAAACAGATACAAATTGGTCTGATTACAAAAACCATCAAGCTAAGGTGAGACAAATGATAAGACAGAAAAAAATAAATCCTGGGATCAAAACTGTCAAAAATTAAATACGTACATAGGAGGAACTAGAAGTACAGAAAACTGGAAACTTATTAAATCTCTTAGGACCAACGACAAGAAAAAAGATTTAATCTCACCAATTTCGTTAGAAACATGGGACATGTACTTCAGTAAACTGTTACAAGAAGACCGAATGGAATTCAAAATAAAAGAAAGTAACCAAAACATACGCGTTGGAAGCATCTCCTATAAGAATCACGAAAAGGAAGTAAGGGATATCTGTATTTCACTCAAAAACAAAAAAGCGCCCGGACCTGGCAATATACCCTCAGAACTGATAAAATATGGAACTGAAAAACTATATGAGCATTTGACAATACTCTTTCAAAACTGCATAAACAAAGTAGAGGTTCCAGCCGAATTTAAAACCTCAACCATTTCAACTGTACATAAAAAGGGAAACAAACAAAATTGCGACAATTACCGTGGAATAGCAGTTACTAGTACCATTAGTAAAATCTATGGGAAAATGATCAAAAAATAGAATAGAAAGAGAATACACTGATATGGAGGCAGAAGAACAGGCGAGTTTTAGAGCTGGTAGATCGACCATAGACTACCTTTTTTGTATCACCCAACTTATAGAAAAAAAGGTTGCTGTAGATCAAGAAGTCCACTTTTTGTTTGTTGATCTAAAAAAGGCCTACGATAGCATCCCTCAAAATAAGTTATGGAACACTCTCAGACAAACGAACATCAACTCAAATCTCATAACAGCAGTGGAAAAACTATATGAGAACGCCAACGCCAAAGTTAAAATAGGAACGAATGTTTCCAAAGGTTTTGTAGTAGACAAAGGACTGAAGCAGGGATGCTGCTTAGCGCCGACACTTTTCAAAATATATCTGGAACAAGCATTAAAACTCTGGAAGCGGAAATGCAGCGGCATGGGTATACAATTAAACAATAACAACCTGTACACTCTATGTTTTGCTGATGATCAAATTGTGATTGCTAACGAATATGACGACCTAGAATACATGACTCGAAAATTAATCGAAGAATACAAAAAATGGGGATTAGAAGTCAACATAGATAAAACAATGTACATGAACATTGGTGGTGAAGAACAAAATCTAGTTTTAAACGACGGACAACACATTAAGTACAACAATAAATATTCCTATTTAGGAGTAGAAATCACAGACGACGGCAAATCAGATCAGGCTATAAAAAAAACGAAACACTCAGGGTAGAAGGGCCATATCTCAACTAAATAGTATTATCTGGGATCAACATATATCCAAAAAAAAATAAACATCGAATATACAACACTATTATAAAGAGCATAGTAATGTATGGAAGTGACGTGTGGCAGTTAAAGGCAACTACTGAAAGAACACTACAAGCCACGGAGATGGACTACTGGAGACGGGCCGCAGGAAAATCAAAACTCGAAAGAATTAATAACGAACGTATACGAGAGGTTATGGGAGTCACACATACGATTGTCGAAGATATAAGAGTACAACAACTAAAGTGGTATGGACATGTGCAGAGAATGCCAGAACATCGTCTGCCCAAACAGATTATAGATTGGTCACCACATGGAAAGAGAAAAAGAGGCCGACCCAGAAAGAGCTGGAGGGAAGGAATAGACAGAGAGATCCGAGAGAGAGGTTTAGACGAAGATCTTTGGGAAGATAGAGATGCATGGAGATTGGGCATCGGAAGACGTCGGAGGACGTTTTAAACCGATTATATATATATATATATATATATATATATATATATATATATATAACATGTAAAGCAGTACAAGATGAAGAAAGAGAAAAAAGCACATCAGAACTATTGGAACCACCAACTACTAAGCTCCTCATCTAGCCCCATGTTCTCAATGAGCTTCCTTAGCCTTGAGGGGGGTTCTTTTATATAGACTAATACTTTTGGTTTTTTTTTCTCCGAGTTCTAGATAAAGAAGCTTTGTGAGGCCCTCATACTGACATAAGACCTGTAGAACAGTTTCCTCTTCTTCTAGATAAAACCGACAAGTATCTACTTTCGTCAAGCCCATGCGACTGAAATGCTTATTGATCTTACAGTGCCCAATTAGCAGGCCTACTATCACTGAGTAATACTGCTGTGAATTTGGCTGAATTTGAATAGTGGCTACTGTTTTCTGCCTATACAGACAGCTCGACAGTGACTGAGTGAGAGACAAATGAATGGCCTTTGAACAAAAAGGGTGTACATAAATGGGAAATTATGAGTATAATTATATAGGGCTGGTTCAACTAATTTGATATAAATATTGGTCTTACCAATATTTTTTCTGTTCCACACACTCGCGGTTTTTCTTCTTATGCGGAACCTGTCCGGGCACCGGGCTGAACACGTGTTTCGAACTGAGATCACGATATAGAGCACACTTTGCGTTTGTACACGATTTAAAATAGTATTTGCGGTATTTTTCGCGTAACTAAAAGCGGAAGAGAAAATAATTAGCGGCAGCTAACAGTATAGAGAAGTAAATGAGGAGAAAAACTAAGATGATGGCATCAAACACCAAACAATAGAGCCAGGAACATCGGTCCCCAATTCACGGTTGATAACTCTATCTTTGAAGTGGTTGACAAATTCACATACTTAGGCTCCCTGATCACCAAAGAGAACGCCATAACGGAAGAAATCAAGCGAAGGATAGTAATGGCAAACAGATGCTATTTTGGACTGCGTAGACATATGAGAAGTAGAAACTTAAGCCAAAAAACAAAAATAACTATATACAAAACCCTTATACAGCCAGTGTTGACATATGGATCGGAGACATGGACCATCTCCAAGGCAGACGAAGACCTTTTGCTTATATTTGAACGAATGATCCTGAGAGGAATATTTGGTGGCATCTGTGAAAATTGTTGTTTGGAGGAGCAGATACAACTACGAGGGTATACCACAGATATAAACAAATATTTGGTGGTAAAGACGTAGTATCTCTTATAAGAATAGGAAGATTAAGATGGGCAGGACATCTAGCAAGATCACAGCAGAAACAACCCTCCTAGAAGAATCCTTATGTCACAACCACCACGAGGGAAGCGCAGTGGGAAGCGAGAATAAAAAAGAAGAAGAAAAAAGAAAAAAAAAAAAGCAAAGAACAAAAAAATGGGCGAGTGGTTTTTTTGGCACACCCACACACCAATACCAAAACTCAGATGGAATGTGATGGTTGTTAGAATGAGGATGGTTTAGAAAGATTAGAAGAAAGATTATAGTGCCGCAAGCACCGCAACGACAGCAAAACTGGACAAACGGTTGGCACATGGATAGTAGGGATTAGGACTGCCTGTTGGCGTACCGTTAAATAGAACTTGGGATGGTCGAGGCTGGCCTTTTCATAGGGACACCTGTTTTGACTTGTGATAGCACCAATTGATTGTGATGTCATTGCCGCACCCCCCCAAGTATAGAGCCGTCTTTTCTAGCGATAGGTCGAATTGGAGAAATACAGCCACAAAGAAGAGAGAGATGCCCAAGAGAGATTTAAGAGAGATGCTGTTCTTCTTTACCTCAAAAGCAAAGAGGAGGAAGGAGCTAGTGGGACTATCTCAACGGACAATAGACAGTACCATGTACCAAAAGCGAGGTTGCACGAAGAGAAAAGGGGGCGGGTGAAAACCGACCCTCCGCTCACACGCCCCCTCCCCCCCCCCACCCCCCCCCTAGGCGCGCCCCCCGCCCCCCTCCCCCCCCCCCCCCCCCCCCCCCCCCCCCCCCCCCCCCCCCACATTCCCCCGCCCCTCCCACACGCCCCCCCCTATCCCCCAATCAAATACGCTCCCCGCCCCTCCTCATATACTTT